ATAGATTGATATTTCATCTGCTTTAGCCAGAAGCAAGAAGTAAAGCATTTCAGTATGGAAGAGTGGAGGAGGATATTAACTAGCACGTAAGAAAAAAAATTTGCCACAAGCCAAAATAGGGTATTGCAGAGTAATGATGGAATTAACATCAAAAGGTGAAGAAAGGTAAGGAGACTATCAATGAAATTTCCAAAGAATATGCGATCAGCACATCCATGTTGGCATTGGTGAGGCCACACCTTGAGTACTGTGTTCAGTTTTGGGCCCGTCACTTTAAAAAGGGCTTTGAGGTGCTTGAACAAGGAGAGTCATAAAAGGTCTAGAGCACGTTGTGTGAGGACCAGCTGAGAATTGGGTTTGTTTAGTCTTGAGAAGAGGTGGCTCAGGGGTGACCTCATGTCTCTCTACAACTTCCCGAAAGGAGATTGTAGAAAGGTGAGGGATGGTCTCCTCTGCTCTGCTTGCAATGAGAGGACTAGAGGAAACAACCATAGACTGCGGTAGAGGAGATTGAGAGTAGATACTAGAAATTTTTTTTCGATGTTAGGGTGGTGAGGCATTGGAATAGGCTGCCTAGGGAGTGGTGGAGTCACCATCTCTGGAAGTGTTTAGGAGTCATCTGGATATGGTGCTGCAGGATACGGTTTCGGTGTTACAGCGGAGTGACAGATTAATGGTTGGGCTTGATGTTAAATATCTCTTCCACCCTTTATGATTCTATGCCCTTTATACTGAGCACAGTTGAGGACAAGATGAAAATTTGTAGGCTAACACTTTCACATTTTAAGAAGAAAACTATGTCCAGAAAGCAGTTAGTTTGGAAAATGTAATTACTTTCTTTTAAAGATGGTTCCTTAGTTCTATTAGGCAGTGATCTAGACAATTAGCTGAATTTCAGGGCTTTGAAATTTCTTAATCACTTTGTATGTCATTTGAGAATTGTGTGGTTTGTCTGTTTTGAAGACTTACTCAATAGAACTCAACACTGAGCATAATGTTTGTGACTGTCAACCAGAACCTGGAAATAAGCTTGTTCTGTAGCCCTGGCTTTTAAGGAGGAATTAGAATGTAGTAGGAATTCAAAGCAGTATGAAGTCATGGAACAGCAAATCAAATGGCTCATGAGCAGTAAAGTGAAATATCAGTGTGTTACCTGTACGTGTTCCATTGCTTCCAGTGATGTTGTTTGGAGTCAGAGCTGTTATTAAGGCATTACTTCTAAAATTAATGGCAGGAGTGGAACTTACAATATTTTCTAAAGAAGTTCTTTCAATTTTGCAGTCAGCGGGTTGGATAGCTGCCATCTTGATGGAAAATTTCTCCTTGGTTGGGAATGTACATGTAGTATTGCTTTCATTTTCTGTGAATGTGAGCAGTGGGAAGGCTATGAGATATTGTTAATTTACTGGCACTCTAATCTAAAAAATTCCATGGAGAACTAATGTGTTACTGCAAAATACAGGTAAGCTGATGGTGGATATTATTCACATCAGAAAAAAGCAAGATAAAACTGTTCAGTTTAAACAAATATGAAATGCTGCTCTTACCAAAACTTACCCAATGTCACATTGGAGTCAGTTAGCCATATTTGTAAATCAAGGAGATCACAGGAGCAGTTCCATGGGTTTCCAGCTAAAACAATTTTAGTCAATTTAAAAGATGATTTTATGTGAAAAGATTTCAGAAGGTTATACTGTAGATTTAAAACTGTCAGGCTTTCTAGAGAAGTAAATACGTCCGAGTTTAGTTGAACAATCATATTATAGGATAAGTTCAACACTGAGAGCTGATTTAATCCTGCAAATGCAGCTTTATGAACTGTGCTAATATGATTGTTGCTGATATCCAGAGTTACGAGCTTTGTCAGATTGCGGAAACTGTTATTGTACAGTACAGCAATCCTGTTTTCAGTCAGATTAAGTTCAGTGAGGTTAATAAAACTTCCAAGAACCTCTTTGTCATAATCTGTTAAAGTGATTTTATTGTGTTTGAGGCTTAATTTAGTAACGTTTTGGAAAAGGTTGGTGGGGATATTAGAGAGGTCCTTTCCAGACTCCTCACAAGTGACCTGTTGAAAAAAAGAGAATGACAACAATTAAATACCATTTAATCACCAAGTCTGGTGATGAAGGTATCTCGGTGATGATTGTTAAAGTCAAGAGAAAACCATCTTGTGTTTTTTGATGCTGATGCTTTAAAAGAAAAATTGTACTGCTCTTCATGCCATTTTATGTCTTAATTAACTCATACTGTGGTGAATCGAGGGAATGAATTACCATAGTATACAGAGACCTGATGTTCCACATCACTTAGTGCTTAAACTCTGAGATGCAAGGCTCTTTATGTAATGATGATCCAAAATACAACTAGTTTAGCGTGCTATTTTGGAATTAGTAAGGCTGTCTGTTTTAAAATTCTAAGGGAAGACTGCTTGGGTAGAAAAAGGATTCCTTTCCACATAATCTGGAAAGAAGGTGTCATAAAGTAAGTGCATTCAAGATGGCGAATGAATTCAAGTATGCCTTTTAAAATGTATTGTTTTAAAAACAACTGTGGTCACTCTTCAGAACATCTTTAGAGTATACCTTCAGTGAAACATTTATTACATGTTTTTGTTATAGCATTTAAATTCATTTTGGGTTTCTGTGTTGAAGTTTAGCACAGGTGCAGTCTTTCCAGATTTAGGTGTTTATTTCCAATATTTTGAATGATTTTTATTTTCCCAACAGAGTAGATTTATCTGTGTGTATAAA